ATGAGTATTAGTCCTGTATTTTCACTATACCTTGGTTGGAGCGTTCTAGAAGTCGTGAGTTATCTGGTATTTACCCTGAACTCTTACGGAAAATCGTGGCAGGTTCAAGAATTAATTCTATCCAAAAGGATCAGCGATTATGATCGAATGCTGTTGCAAATTTTTATCTGCATGTGGTTGCTGTCAGTGTCTACTTCGATTATTGTTGAGCGGTTATTGTATGTCAACATTTAAAGTTCGCAGATGCTTGCTAATTTTAATACCTCAGAGAGGAGAATAAGCTTATTCTAGGGGGGCACCTGCGGTCTCATTTTCTACCAGAATTAGCAAAAGGTGTGTTGCCAATGCAGTTTCAGTTCAACGATCATATTTACCAACTGTCACAGCGAGTCTTCGATCTGATATGTCATTCTTAAAAGGTGACTGGATTTCTGATGTGGTGTGAACAGGGCTCTAATCAGCGTCTAGATCACAAACTTCGCATGTCGCTCCCTGATTCTTGGGCGTTTGGTGAAATTGCTCCGGGACTGGATTTCTTCGAAGAATTCACAATGAGAATACGAAGCATCTTGACTCTTATCTTACAAGTCGTTGTACTGGTTCATATCATATCTCAAATGGGTCCGCCAGACTCCCACATCTTGTCCTGTCTGGTAATTATATTCCTGTTCATTATGTTTTTCGCGCCATCTAATGGAGTTGGGGGCTTTGGTGAGTATGCTTGTCTCCTTTCATCGTTTAACGCCTGATATCTTTGATAGGATACACGTTTTGGACGAAGAATGAACATTATCACCGCCTCAATTCTTTATACTCTATAATATTTAACGACACGTATCGGCAGACACTTGTCAAAGATGGTTTAAATGAGGAACTATATAATGGCACGCATTAGTTGATATTTAGCTCTTGTTCTGCTATCCTAATTCTTTGATAGAATACAAGAAGTCGTCAGATGCTCTTGGGATCGCCAAATCTGACACGTTGGCGCTCGCATGCACTCTTCCTCCACCCTGGTACTGGGTTGTTGCTCGTAACTTTGTCATCGATTACCCCATGGTTCGTCTTGCTACTGATTTCATAGCGTGTTACGGCTTATCTTTTGCATTTACATGTAGGCACTCTACGCATTAACTCTTCCGTGGAGATTTTCTTCATCATCATTGACTACAATGGCATTATTCCAGTATGCGATTGTTACGCTCAAGCAGGGGATCAACTGTTTAAGAGGTTGTCATAACCCCGTATCTCTCCACGACATTATGCGAAAAGCTCAGCGATTATATGAGACAATAGAATCAAACAAACAGCAGCACCTCGGCGCTGGATGCTACCCAGATAGTCTCGCTAGCTATCCTAAGGGTATGAAGCTTTCATTCAGGTAATATTCAAATCTAAATCGACGGCGAATATCTTTGAAGACCCATCCTTCTCTTATTCAGAAACGTTAGCTTCAGATATGAGGATACCATAAATCCAGAGTTCAACGCTGTCAATAACATCACGCTAGATATCGAGCCTGGTCAACTTGTTGTTATTGTTGGTGCCAATGGGAGTGGGAAGACCTCTCTCCTTAATCTTCTCCCTCGACTTGCAGAACCTACTTCAGGAGAGATTTATATTGATGATAAACCTTCTTCAGACTACGACACTCTGCAAATCCGACGATCTATAGCGTTCCTTGCACAGAATGAGCAAATATATCCAGTGTCTTTGCGGGAAAATATTCTGATGGGGCTTACTGGTGTAGAGCGTAAACATGCCGATAATCCTGAAAAGATTTCAGAAGCCGCTGTTCTAGGAGGCTCTTATGATCTTATGTCGAGGTTGGGATGGGATACGATACTCAATCGCTGTGGGGTCGTTGGACAAAGTATGCGAGGATGTGGGAACGGCGATATCGGCGACGGAGCTCTCGCCGAGCTGGAAAGAAACTCACCTAGCTCAAAAGAGATCTCCATCTCGTGCGGGGAGAAACAGCGACTCATTGCGTACGTACACTGATCTTCTCTACTACACATCCCGATGCTCATTCTTTGTGTGCAGCTCACGAACCTTCATGCGTGTCAAAAATAGCTCCGTCAAGCTCCTCGTTGTCGACGAGCCTACCTCCTCCCTAGATCCCATAGCCGAACGCGAACTCTTCAACCGTTTCCGGGAATTACGCGATGGAAGAACGGTCATTTTTGTTTCGCACCGGTTTGGTAATCTCGTCAAACATGCGGACTTAATTATGTGAGTACAGGCAATGCGCTGTGGGTACATCTCATTAAACGATGTTGGGACTGACCACGAGTTTTAGATGTATGCATGCCGGACGTATCATTCAGAAAGGAACTCATGATAAACTGATGAGTGAAGGGGGTGAGTATTCGAGGTTGTACGACGCACAGGCAGAATGCTTCGAGGCAAAATAGCTTCAGTTGCCAGTGAAGCGTTGATATAAAACATAATTATCTTTCTTCTTTCTTATTGCTTTATTATCCTATGTTATTGATTACCTGTAACTATGAGACCTTACCTACGGCGTGGCTTCTTTCTACTTTACCCTAGACCTTTATTTCATACACCATTAATAGTTATAGTTGACAATATACTATAGTATATACATGTCTGGCTACCGCTGCTTTTCCATAATAAAATTTCATCATGGCTTCAAAATCTTCATCCAAGACAGCCAAATGACAACTGTCATTCATATGTTTAAGTAGAGTGATGTAGTGTTTGGGTTTTATCCAGCCCGCTATCGACCAGTCGAAACATAGCTCTATTTGTAGAAGATGAAAAGCAATGTATGTACAGTCTGTCAGGAGTCGTAGAAAGACTATTTATACTCATAATTAACACCCTGAAAAACCTATAGTTACAGCAGGTACCAGCATGCATCCCATCACATTAAAAATCCAAACAACAGGGAAAATGCTCTAAACAATGAAGGACGTGTTTAATAAATGTCTGTAGCGCTTTAAATTGTGGATTGTCGCCAATCGAGGCTTACGATAACCACATGCACAAAGGGGAATTGCCATGTTGGGTATACAGCATATGGTGGCTAATGGCTTCTATTAGTACCACGCGTCCAGTGCACTTACCACATGCTCAAATCAAGGAAGACCTTGCAATGATGCCTTTGGCGCTTGCTTGGCACGTCCACGACTTTCGCCAATTCACTGTATATGAATTTACGCAAGCGCTATGTATTAAGTCGCCTGAGTGGGTATTTTCCAAGCATTCCGTTTTGCAGGCTCGTTCCATTGATACGTAGGCGTCTACAGCACTAGCGCGAAAAACTGCACAGAATTAGCCCCTTCCTACTCCGAAGAAGCCATTTTCTAATTGGCGCAGCAATCTACGAACCTCAATAATATTATTAGAGGACTTACTACCATCAGACTATATTTAGATGTTTATCGAGTGCAGTGGAGAACCTGTAGCAAGCTTTGCACGCTACCGTTGGAGGAGCAGCTAGCAGCTAGCAAACAACCCATAACGTGCAATCTCTCCCCATCACGATGCTTCATCAGCTCTGCAATAAGCTCACTATTCTTATCAATTGACAAATCCTCCATAAAGTGAAAGAAAGAAAAAACATTGGTATATGCGCGTCGTGCAGGAAATGAATCTCGGTTGGAGCTCCATTGTCCGAATGGGAACGCGCGAATGAGTTCAACAAGCTCCGAGTGAAGTACAAGGGTTGTTTGAGCATGCATCGTGTGAAGATTTTGGAGCATGGCAAATACCCAGGCGGATAATATCCCATTACCTTCAAGGTCCGAATTTTGGAAACAGGTTTCTGATTCATGAGTGGGTATGTGCGGTCCAGCATCTGCAGACGCTGGTGAGAATTCGTACATACTTACGGACTCAAGTGTAGGGCGCAACGAAAGTGGGAAAGAAATATAGATGGTCATTCTTCATGTATCTTGGATTTAGTGTCAGAGAAGCCAAAGACGACACAGCAGAGATAACGAAGCGAAGGGAATATCTCAAACTTGCACATGACCAGCGCACAAAGATACTAGGGTGGAGGTTGCATCGGAAGCTGAATGCTATGCATGTATTTGCACCTAGCCCCTTGGATCCTTTTTTGATAGGCGCAACCTCGTGTATTGAAGAACCAGGTGGCTATTCAGCAACACATATCTACAAAGGTAGATAAGTGAGGTAGAGCGAAAACAGTGGCATTCAAGCAGAAAACACACTTACGAGCGCATTCAGAATTTGATTAACCGTCACCAGTCATCGGTCCTGATAACAGCTTCAGTAATAGTGCTACCTGATCAATTGAGTACTATAGAATGTTAATTGCAGTTTCAAAATATGTTTTTTAGGTCAAAGGAGATGAAAGGAGTGTGTTACGAGAGGGCTTCGCGGCGTGCTCGCATTCCCACTAAAAGGTTTTAAAAGATCTACGCAGAAATGGTTGCCTAGAATTCCATGTAGTAGAATCTGGCTGATAATTTCTGACGTAGTGAGCGCGGCATTCTATGTCGTTATCTGTGCTGTTATGTGACCTATAGATTAGGGCGTACATGATAGAGTTAGCGTATGTCTAGTCTTCACTTGAAGAGAGTGAGAGAATGAAGCGAGAATGTATGAATAGACAGACAGAATCCAATTGATCAATCTATGCAGACTTGTATCCAATTAAAATTGGAAGATCGGAGTTAAGAGGAAAAACTTCCCCAGAACCGGGTACTAAATCCGAATTATTTGCCAACAATAGGCGTCCCCAGCTTTTCCCAGCCTACACAGGCTGGTGATCGTAAAATCAGTACAAAAAATTTTCTCAGTCGTCGTAAATTAGTAATTAATCCCGGTATATTGTCCCAAGAATCCGTCATTTACTAGCACATGATTCGTAATTGATAGAAGAGAACAGTAATGTGCTCTTTGTACACTGTCGTCCAATGATACCTAGTAGCTTATACATATAAGTCACGGTGGTTTAATTGAGATGTTTGTAATTTTATCTTTCATAGGTAGCATTATATTTCAACTCGAGTATGATGTAATGGTTAACATTGCTGCCTCTCATGTAACAGACAGCAATTAGGGGCTGTAAATTTCACTGCACCTCGGGGTTCGATTCTCCGTACTCGAATCTAGATCTTGAGCTGTTGTTCCTGTTTTTTCTTTTTCTTTTCACTTTCAGTTCAAAGTTTTGTCACGCATGGAAAAATTGATGATGCTATGCAAATCTTCAGAGTAAAGGAAGATGTTCAAACATAACGTAACATTATAAAGAGCTTCGTTATTTATTGATACGTTAACTCGAGTATGGTGTAAAAGCTAACATTGCCGGCTCTCATAGGCACGCTTTGTGATAAATTTCTGCGGCAGCTTAGGGTTCGATTCCCTGTACTCGAATGGAGATGGAAGGTAAAAGTTTTTTTTTTTTAAAATTGAATGTTGTCAAATTTTTGTACGCATGGAGAGCTTGATGACACCACGCAAATAATCAAAGTAATGTGAAAAGTTTCAACGTACTATAATAATGTTACATTATAAAGAGCTTCTTCGTATATTGATACATTAACTCGAGTATGGTGTAATGGCTAACATTGCCGCCTCTCATATGTAATAACCACTAAGGTTTCATGGTAAATTTTCGCGGCAGCTCGGGGTTCGATTCCCCGTACTCGAATAAGCAAGTTAAATATCAAGATCTTTTTCTTCTTTTTTTTTCAGTTCAATTTTTTGTATGCATGGAAAGCTTGATGACATCACACAAACTCTTTCAAAGTCTCCGACATTAAATGTAATATTGAGTATATACATAAATCAAGAGATTTGTCATAAACTTTTGGAGTTGATTTTTGTTCCTTGTTCGAAAACATGTGCTGTACTGCTGGCAGTAGCATTACTTTTCAACTCGAGTATGGTGTAATGACTAACATTGCCGCTCATACTAATATCACGGTGTAGCAAATCTTTGCGGCAGCTCAGGGTTCGACTCCCTGTACTCGAATGAACCGTGAAGCACAGTACGATTTTTATTATTTGTATTGTTATTACATTTTATACACTGGTACTACTTAGTGCCTTCTATAAGAACGACAAAGGCAGCTGGAAGATTTGAAGGGGAAACTAGAGATCTAATCCCAACTCACCACCACTTAATTCTCTCTCAGTTTTCAATATTCTTTTTCAAGTCTTTAATGCTCAAGGCTTTCAAAAACCAATCTCCACTGTCGAACATGTTAAAGGTAGTAAAATACAAAATAAAAGACATCTGCTCGGTTCCATTCGAATACGGGGAATCGAACCCCGAGCTGCCGCGTAAACATGTATATCTTTCCACCCTTACTTATGAGAGGCGGCAATGTTAGCCATTACACCATATTCGAGTTATCAGACCACGAAGATTAAAATAACACGAGCGCTTGCTTGGTGCCGTAAGAGTGATGCAGCTTCGTCATCGTGCGCGACGTTGACTACGGGAGTTTGGTTTTTGATTTCATTTTACTCTAAACTTATGTGGCTTTTTTCGGAAGTTGAGTTTTGGACTTCAACCACATCCTTCTCAGTATCCTTCTCTCTCAAGAGCAATACCGTAAAGACGAAACCGCCGTTCACCATCGACTGCGATTCGGAAGAGCGTCTGAATGGTAATGAGCACGGATGACGGCTGGTCTTCGGTACGTCTTCGTTCAGGCTTGGTTCGCGGGCTGTTCTTTTCTTACTCGTGTTCGTTAGGTATTCAATTACATCGCGAGGGTGGGCCAAGAATAACCGCAGAGGACTTTCCTTTCAACGCAGCATCTTTCGGATCGTGTATCATATATAAAACGTAAAATCATCGGCGCTGCAACCCCAGCTTCATCGATCATCACGCGAAAACGGAGAAAATATGCGAAAGGCCGAGGAATGGTTGAACTTGAGGGCCTTGAGGGAGCTAAGCGGCGAAACATGCGCTCCTTTTAGCACTCTTGGGAACATGGGACATACTAGGGAAGGAAAGGCGCAGGCGAGGGTGGAGCGGGCGATAAGCTGGGAATATGGGTATTTCAGAATCGCTGGGATCACGAGCTTGGACTGAATACCTTTGGGAACTTCTGGCAGGGAGATACGCATGGAAGAAGCGAGAGCAACCTGGGATAGGTTCATGTTTGAACCTGATGCAGGAAGAGATAGGACAGGAATAGCACGCTGACGTTGTGATGAGCTCAGTGGTCGTCGGGAGTCGACGTCAATGCCTACAATCTCAGCACACGATACTCAAGAAGATGGAAGAAAGGACCTACGAGGAAAAGGAGAACGTTCCGGGAAAGGAAAACCTCCGCCGATCGATCGAGCTCGGCGCGTCGGCGTTGAGTGGCTTGGACCTCCCTTCAATCCTTGCTCTTCACGAAACCCTTTCTCTTCACGTTCACCGCACGCGACATGCCTTCGACGGCCTACACCTCGATATTTACACGCTAAGGATACCGACGGCCTGAACACACCGAAGACTATTTATGGTCGGCGTTCTCAGCTCCACCGGCTTGTGTCAGCCACCATTCTGTTTTTCCTGGAGAGTTATTTGCGGAAACCTTGGGTTATTTTGGATAACTGCGGCGGGCGTTTTTCGTTCTTTTCGTTCTTTACCACCAGTGACTTAATTGCCTTTGGCGCTTCCCTCCCTTTCCATTCGCTGTGTCGGCCACCATCATCACTACAACGAATATCACTTGGACGATACCGCTAGACGCACGATAGATCGAGATAGGACTATCTATACCGAAGACTCTTCTATTCCAACTGCAAGCCGCCCACAGTCCGCCATACCCGATACCAACACCAACGCGAATCAAGACTCACGACCATACCCAATATCAACCCGCCCCAGTACGACCCCAATCTCCACTACCATGTCGCACCCCGACCCGCACTCCCCTTCTCCCTCCCCCCTCCCATGGTCCTCAACCCCCACCAATCCATTCTCCACTGCCCCATCCACCCCCACTCCCCACACGCCTGCAGGCCTCATCGACGAGCAGCAGCCTATGCTCCCACCCCCACAAGCCCGGTGGTCCAACCCCTTCTCATCCCCCGCTCCGTCGCCGGCACCGTCTACTCATGCGCAGCTCAACCCCAATGACCAAACCTCGAAAGAAGGCGTTTTCGCAGCTGCCGACCCTGATTCATCCTTTGGTTCTTCTTCCCAACTGCGGGGCAGGAAAGGCGTGACGAGGAAGAGAAAGCTGCTCATCGCTGGGCTGGTGTTGCTATTGCTGCTTATAATCTTTCTGGCGGTGTTCCTACCCATACTCTTCCTCGTCATCCGCAAGAACAACCAAACTGCCGCTGGGGGTGGGAAGGGAGGAGGAGGAGGAGGAGGAGGAGGAGGGAACGGGAAGAACCCCGCCTCGCCGAGCGGTGCAATCGTACGTTTGTCCCATCTACTTACTTACATGCATGTCGCTAACGCGCATATACACACCCCTCCCAGTCCGGCGGCGACGGCTCAACAGTGGTATTAGCCAACGGCACCTCCTTCGTGTACTCCAACTCCTTCGGCGGGTTCTGTACGTACCCTTTCCTACCTTCCTACCTTCCTCTCTCCTGTTTCCCTTTCTTAACCCGCACTTCTTCTGTTTGCAGGGCACCAAGATCCCAACGACCCCTTCGCTACCCTCGCCCAACCCAACTCATGGACCCCGCCCTTAAACACCACCTGGCGCTGGGGCGTTGACAGGATCTACGGCGTTAATCTCGGGGGCTTGTTCGTCCTCGAGCCGTTTATTAGCCCTGATTTGTTTCAGCGGTATCCAGGTAGTGCAGCAGGTGAGTGGTTCTTGTGTTTTTCTTTTGAGGAAAGGAAAGGAGGCTGATTGGGTGCTGGTGTAGGAACAACGCCTGCTGCGGGGGCACTAGTGGGCGCGGCGGTTGACGAATACACGCTCAGCCAGGCGATGGCTGCTGATACTGCAGCGGGTGGATTGGAGAAGCAGTTGGAGGCTCATTATGCTACTTTTGTGGTGAGTTGCTGTTTCTTTCGTTTCTTTTTTGTTCTTGTTTTTCGCGATGTTGGTTCTGAGTCTCCTTTTGCGAGAGTTTCTTTTGAAGCTTTAGGGAGGGAGGGAATGGGAGGCGGAATATCGTTTATCTTTTCGGGTAGGGTGTATGCGTTTTTTTTTTTTTTTTCGTGTTTTGAGTAGGGAGAACGATTGGTTTCTTCGCTTTCCTCCCGCAGAAGCATGCCTTTTATGTTGCTTTTCGAGATTTTCCTTTCGTTTGACTGAACGAGAGCGAGTATTCTTTTGTTCCTTTGGGTTCTTGTTTGATCTTTTCGCATTCTTTCCTTGACCTTTCGTTTTATTTCGTCTCTCTTTCCCCCTCCCTGGCCTTACTAACCCTTGCTCCCCCATCCTTCCTAGACCGAACAAGACATAGCAGAAATCGCCGGCGCGGGGCTCAACTTCATCCGCGTGCCCATCGCCTTCTGGGCCATCGAGACGTGGGAGGGGGAGCCGTATTTAGCGCAGGTTTCGTGGAGGTGCGTTTATATATTTGACTTTGGACGAGCGGGAGAGACAAAGAGAGAGAGCGCATGCTATTCTCGTCTCTCCTTCCTCTTCTTGCCATACTTATTCTTGTAATGAATCGATGCTAACGCACCTCATTAAACAGATACTTCCTCCAAATCCTCGACTGGGCACGCAAGTACGGACTTCGTGTCTGCCTTGATCTGCATGCCGTTCCTGGCTCTCAGAATGGTTCGTCTCCTTCCCTCCTTCCCTTCCCTTCCCTGCCTCCTCTCTATCTCTTACCCCTCCCTTATACTCACTAACGACCCCACGTCACAGGCTACAACCACTCCGGCCGACTCGCCCCCGTCAACTTTCTCAACGGCAACATGGGCCTGGCCAACGCGCAGCGCACGCTCTACTACATTCGTGTCCTCGCTGAGTTCATCGCGCAGCCACAGTATCGTGATCTCATACCGATCTTCGGGATCGTCAACGAGGCACTCGTTGGTCTCATTGGGATGGATGCGATAACGAGCTTTTATCAAGAGGCGATCAGCGTTATTAGGGGGATTACGGGGCAAGGGGAGGGGAATGGGCCTGTGAGTGTTGATTCCTCCAATTAACAGTGAAATAAAGCCGACACTGACGCTTACATACAGTACATCGCCATCCACGACGGCTTCCTCCCGCTCTCAAACTGGGCCAACTTTTTGCAGGGTGCGGATCGCCTCATGCTTGATACGCATCCGTATTTCTCGTTTGGAGGGCCGATGTTGGATCCCATCGCGGTCCCGGGCGATAGTGGTATGCTTGGAGGCAAGTGGCCCAAGGCGGCGTGTGATAATTGGGGGCCGATGGTTAACCAGAGGTAACTTCCCTTCTCTGTCTACACGGGAGGACGATAGCTAATATCTAAATCTCTTCTTCTTTAGTCGCCAAGCCTTTGGTGTGACAATTGCAGGCGAGTTCTCCGGCTCGCCCAATGACTGCGGGCTGTTCCTCCTCGGTGTAGGCACGGATTCTACGAACCCACAATGTCCAGAGTACGACGATTGGGAAAACTTTAACAGTACGATGAAGGAGGGTATTAAGAACTTTATCGAGGCGAGCTTTGATGCTCTGGGAGATTGGTTTTTCTGGACTTGGAAGGTGTGTTTTACGTTTCTTTTCAGCTTCGTCGCTGTCATTTCTCTCCCGACTGTTCGGAATTTGTGGATTGGTACTGACACTGGCATCTCACATCCAGATCGGCCCCTCACAGACTTCAGGCCGGATCGAAACGCCCCTCTGGTCCTACCAACTCGGCCTCCGCAACGGCTGGATTCCCACCGACCCACGCGAGGCCATCGGTAAATGTGCTGCCCTCTCTGCCGCGTCCGTACCCTTCGACGGCACATTCTCTGGATGGCAAACCGGTGCCCCGACATCAAGCATCGCCGCCTCTTCGTCATCTCTCTTCCCCTGGCCGCCTACCACCCTCTCAGGGATCAGTGTCCCAATGTCTCTTGTACCGACGTACACCACCACAGGGAGTGTGACGACCATGCCGGTGCAGACGTACAGCGGTGCGCCGGCAAGTGTTACGAAGAGTGATGATGGGTGGTTTGATAAGCAGGATACGGAAGGGGGTGTTGTTACTGTGAGTGGGTGTCCGTATCCAAGTGAGTATGATGGGATTTTCCAAGTCGTGCCCACTGCGCCGTGTACTGGGCCTGGGGATGCACCTGCTTCGACGATTACGCCTGCGCCTGCAGCTTGACCTTTATGGTTGCTGTTGATGACGACCTTGGATCATAGTTATGCTGCATGAATGGTGAATTCAAAAATTTGCATTGACTCGGACGATTTGGATTATATTTTCTAGAGGACACTATGAATACTATTGCTACCTACAG